TTGTTTTAATTTCATAAAAAAATATAATGTATTGGTTTTATCTTTTCTTCGTTCACTTAAAGTAAAAATAGGTCAAAATAAATTAAATACTTGAATAAAAAAAAAACTTTAAATGAAACATTCTATTTCACATAACAAAATACAATCACCAAAAAATATGTGTGGCACTCGGGGACTGCCGCGGTAAAGCTATTGCATAGCATTTTTTATCAACTTATGCAATTATATTTATTTATTTTATTTATGCAGTATTTTTTTTTTGATATTAATTCAAGTTCCATTTTTTGAGCATCGTGACCGATAAGAAAACACATTTTTTTCTTTTATTGAATAAATGAGAAGTTAATATTGTTTAAAATATTTTTATTATCTTACAATACATGTAGGTTATTCAGGAATTTTTATCATTGAAACTATAGGTTTATGATAACTGAAATAAGAAACATAAGTTTGAGACTTGATATCCTCTAAATATCTGGAAAATACCGCGTCAATGGTGGTTCCATATTTTGTTGTAGATTCTTGTGAATCATTATTCATTTTCAAATTCAATTTTTCCAAAATTGTGTCTAAAAAAGATAGAATCAGTTATGAGCAGTTAGCAGCTAGTCTACACGCATACGTCTAGTCGCACGCACACAAACACCTTGTCGAAGTCTGCCGAACTGAAACGACGTTAGACGATGCACGACTTTCAACACCGCACCGCTGTGCCGGTCGGAGTGGGAGTGTTAGGTTTATTTTCATTACGGAGTTTCTTTTTCGAGTTTTTGATTTTTCGATTGTTCGAATTTTCGATTTTCTTTTATTGAATAAATGAGAAGTTAATATTGTTTAACGCCGCACCGCTGTGCCGGTCGGAGTGGGGGTGTTAGGTTTTTTTTTCCGTCACGGTCGTTACGGAATTTCTTGATTCGGTCGCCGCACTCAAAGCCCGCGATTAAAGCTATGCAATAGCTTAATATTATAAAGATTCAACTTAAAATATTTTGCCACTTACCTTCTTAGTAAACAGATTAAGAAATCACTAAAAACCACGTGTTTTTTTAACATTCAAGAGAACTGATGCTCTGCACTCTTCCACAATCAGTTGGCAACTGAGAATATTCCCCACCATGCCGTCATATAATAATGATTATTTTTTTCGTATAACTTTTAACCAATTAGAACGTTCAATTTAGTTAAGTTACCTCGTATAATTTCGATAATACCTGATTATACATAGAGTAGCTCCACCAATCAAAAATATTTACAATAATTTCATTTCCGTAGTAACCACATCGACAACAATACACTAACTAACAGGACCGTCAAATTTTGACGTTTATCAATTAGGCATTCCAACGACCTGTCCAAATGGCTACCAGTGGGTAATGACAGTTTAGATATGGCAAGCCTGTTGTCATGTTGTCATTAACAGGGTCAATGATACATATATAGTTATATAGATTGCTCAAAGCTGGTCGTTTACGAGCGGCCATATTGCCTGGCAAATATTTATTAATTTGAATCGGTTTAGCAAAAATGTGTTTTAAAACCAATTTTTAGCCTTTAGATATTAAAAAAAAAAATAATTGCTTACATTTTTACTTCAAGGCATACGCTTATGTTTATTTTGAAAAATATGGATAATCAATCTATGTAACTATCTATTTCATTGACCTTGTCAAATCACCAGGTCTACAGGGTTGCCATAATTTTGCAATATCATAACCCGTCAAAGCCCACTGGTAGGCATTCAGTTTGGAATGCCCAATAATTATTTTAAAATGAGTCGATTCGGAGATGTATCATTAAATGCAAATTTTTGATATTTACTTAATTTACTCAAACTTCCTGCATAATTACATCGTGTCAGTTTGACAGAATAATCCTCCCGCTTCGCGGTCGGATTATTTAAACTGTCAAACTGACACTCTTTATAATTATGCAACAAGTTATCGATGTATAACCTGATTATTTTGAAGTACTTATAGTATTACTCACGGGGGTCGGATTCCATGTAAATAGTTGGTAACAAGTTTGCTTGACCTCGACAGTAGCGCGCTAAGCGCTTACGGTTGAACTACACCTGTCAGTTTCAGTCGATAAAGTAGAACACTACTAATTAAAGCGATTTAAAAATTGGCGGGCTTGATAATTTAGATATTTGAAGCAATTTGAAGTAACATTTTCCTATTTGACAACTTTTACTTACAACTACTAAACAAACAATAAGTTTAGTGAATTTTTGTTGTAGGTAAATGTTGAAAAATGGAAAATGTCACTGAAAAATAAAATTAGTTGAAAAATAAAACACATTTTTAACAAGTTTAATTTATTTAGAATTACCATGTAATTACATGTGTCTCATTATCTTCTAACTGCATATTTTGAACATAACAAGCACTATATCACACACTAAATTACTGAAAAATAAAAATATAATATGATAACCAGCATAGCACATGACAATGTTTTTATTATTAAAAAACCGGATATAGTTTTTATAAAAAGTCAAAGTAGTTAATTTATAAACACAATTGGTTTAATGTTTTAAATATCCCTTATTAATCCATGGACAAATCATTCCAATTCTAATATTCTTATACTTATTGTCACTTTTCCCATCTATTTCAATCTAGAATAGTTGTAATGCCTATTTCGGGTGCAATAAGCCTCCAGCTTCAATACAGGTGGGCTTTGAAACTCACCCTAATTAAGAAACACATTTATGTACATTCCAAAAATCTCCATACCGAGGAATATCTAAAACAAAACAAAAATAAAGGTGCAGTGTGTATCTTAAAAATAAAAAATAACACGAATCATAACTTTTTTAAATTCTTACAATTTTCTTGCAATAAAAGGTATAAAAATTTCAATAAAAATAGAAAACATGATTTATGATCTTAATAGGTGAAATATGCAAAAATTAACAAGTTGACTTAAATAGCATATTATAAGTTTTTAAACATATTTGGGTATTATTTGATAAATATAATAATGATATCACCCAAAAATTGAACAATAACTTTTTGAGCACAAATCATTCGCCTTTTTTCATCATGGTCTTTATAAGTAAAACTAGGATGAGGTTCTATCTCGGGGTCTACAATATTTGTTTGTAAATTGGCTTTACACATTTCGCTCACAACTCCTTTCATTTTTTTGACCACAAATGTTTAAAATGTGGATCCATTTACCTCTAGAGTAATAATAGCAGGAAAAACACAAAATTTCTTGTTAGTTTTGTGAGAAAAATACTTACTTCTGCAATTTAAATGAATCAGAAGTTAATGATTTTCTTAAGAACCTCCCTACAGTTAAATTAGTTAAATCTAACTTACACTTAATTAATACAATTTACTCACCTACATTTGAAAAAAATATCACCTGCATTTGAAAATGAAAATAATATAAGACTGACATATTCATAGATAAATTAATATTAATTTATCTATGGACATATTTATAGCAATATAACCTAATTTATTTTCAAAGCCAGATTTACACCATCTAATAATATTTAAATTTAGCTTTAACTTTAAATTTATTAACGATTATCCCTGTATTTGATCACACATTATATTAGAGTGAAATTTAAAGGGGTAAATCAGTAAAATTATTGATATCTTTGTTATTATTTTTGAAAACATATTTTTTTATGGGTGTAAAACGGGTTTGAATTTAGTGACAGCAGCGCGCTAAGCGCTTACGGTTCAACTACCAACAAGGAAACAAGTCCCGCCATTTATTCAAACCTTCTCTTTTTATTTTTCTATGGTATTACTACTGAAAATCTTGCCACGTTTCACAAAATACTAAAATGCGTTTGCAGTTCTTATAAATCATGATTGAATTTGGGGTGTCATCTATTGGTATGAACAACTTGGGGTGTCACCCATTGGTCATTTTACCTTACCTATTTCGAGTTTAACAAAAAAACAAATAAAGATATATTGGAATTTGAATAAAAACTGGCATCGCTATTTATGTGTTCTATCATTCAGCGCTTTGACCTGATATTCGTCTAGCGAGCGAACTTAGAGAAAATAGTTTTGAGCAAAATACTTTATGAAAGGAGGTTTGTGTCTTAGATATGCTCAGAACTCTGAATAGGTCAGTTTTGAACGGCCCCCTTAAAAATTACTAATTTAAAGTTAGCAACATAGCGTATTAAAACTTGAAAGTTTGGGAATAAAAAAAATCAATCTCAAATTCATCAATTTGTTGTATTACTTTTGAAACCAGTGACCATACATATTTTAATTTTAAGAATGGAACGCCTTACTATGTGGATATTATGTTTCTCTTTAAGTGAAAGTGTCAAGTGCACATTAACATTCATTACATTTTTTTAAATACGTATCATGGTCCATAATCTGATAAGTATAAAATTGTATTTTTCAATTTTTTGCTTTTTTTATTCTTAGTTTAACCTAAAACAAATGCTATTATTTTTTTATCAATAAATTTTGGTTATTAATCAACAATTTTATTAGTACTCGATAAGTATCAGATTTTGGCCAATCATTAAAGTCATTTTGTTTCACAGGATTATTGCTGCTAAGAAGAATGGCCACCGCTATAATTCCTCAAATAAAAGATGTCGATATAGATCCTGATGGAGTCTTCAAATACATCTTAATTAAAGTAAGCAGTCCTAAGAGCGATGGTAAATTAGAAGATAAATTAATAGTCCGTGGTTATGCTGAATGCCCTTACCATGCTGATATTAATGATAAAGTTACTTCTGAATTACAAAAATTAAAGTCCAGCAAGGCTATTGATAAGTGGCGGTCCAAAGTCTTGGGAGGTGGAAGAATTCAGCATGATGCAGATGTTAAAAAAATCCTAGTTTATGGATACTCACAAGGTTATGGCAAAGCTGACCATCAACTGACTGTAGATATTTTGAAAAAGGTTTATCCTGATTATAACATTAGCTTTTCTGACGAAGGCTATTAGGCATTGCCGTAATTTAAATAGGTTTATTATTAATTGCTTTTTAAATGTGTTCAGTATGCTGTATTTATTTTGATATGTTTAGGATTGAAATAAATGATAAAATAATAAAATAACTATTTATTTTGTGTTAAATATATTTCCTTGTTTCTTTGGGGTATTGTGTACCAAATTTGCTTTAAATATATTCTTAGAAGGTATAAAAATAAATATATTATTTATGTTTAACTCAATTAATGCCATTTTTTTGTGGTAGCCTTGAAAACTTGTAAATTAATGCTTGTTTGGACTGGATTTTTTCTATCTTTATTTATTTTCATTTATTTTTAATTTATTTTTGTTTATTTTCATTTATTTTTAATTTATTTTTGTCTATTTTCATTTATTACTTTTTAATTGTTTTTATTTATTTTTATCTATTTTTATTTTTTTACTTATTTATTTTTACGATATTTCCCATTCCCTTTCTTAAAATGTAAAAATTCAGAAACCTTGTATTACGTCATTATTTACTTATGATAAGGAGCTAAAATTCCGATTTTCAAGTTCCTACCTTCAAAAAACCGAAAGTATTATACAAACTTTCACCTCTCGTTTCCCCCTTAATATGTAAAAATCCAAAAATCCTGAAACATATCTATTTATTTACAATAAGTAATCTACGAGCCAGTGGAGGGCTATAGTTCTTCCATTATCAATTGCAGATCATAAAAACTCGTTGGGAACCTTTACCGACAATTTTGTTTGATCTGCCATAGGCGTAGATACCTACCTCATTTTATAAATTTATTTTATTAATACTTTTAATATATATCATATGCAAGAAAGTATTCGTTAAAAGGAAATCGAATAATTATAAATTGGACGTTATTATACGCCCTTATTTAGACAGATGCACTTAATTGTAATCTTACTTGGACTTAAAAAAAATCATTATAGCTCGTTAACTTGCTACAACTGAATATTAAATTATGAAAACGTAAAAAAGCGAGTAAAGTGTACCTGCCTGTAAGGTAGAGATGTTCGATACAAAGAAAAGTATCGATACTGCATATCGATACAGATCGATGTTTAATGTATCGATGCAGTTTAATATCGTAAGCAATAGTATCGATACTCAAAATATCGAAATGGTATACTAATGTAGTATGTACTATAAAGAAAATAATTTTAAGGTATTGAGATAAAAATAGGTTTTTAGGTGTATATTTAAAAACTATACAATATTTTAAAAACTAAAAATGTATTTATAAAAAAAAAAATGTATTCATAAAAAAATGTATTTACTTCTATAAAAGGTGCCAATCTTTAATGTCTAAAGAATTCAAAAATAATAATTTAAACAATCTTTCACCATCTAATCTGTTGGGTCTTTCGGTCATTATATTGCCAGCTTTTGAAAACAACCGTTCACAGGGGACTGATGAACCAACAGTTAACAGATATTTATATGCTATTTCTTTTAAAACTTTTAAGCCACTTGATTTCCAGTAATCAAGTGGGTCGGTCTTTAGTTCTGTTAACGGTTGGTGCATATACAATTTTAGTTCATGAAAAAGTTCCCCCTTAGTTGAATCAGTTCCAGTAACTGAACTTTTCTTAGCTAATGTTTCATGAAACGTCCATAATCCAAATGATTGAGTATTCCTAGTAGCATCATCGGAAACAGTTTGCTCTAGTTGTTCATTTTTTGAGGATTCTATAAATTCTTTGCATAGATTATTAATATTATTAATGGTTTGTGCAACTGCTTCAGGGTTATTAAAATGTATTTTTTTGAAACGTGGGTCCAAAAAAGTGGAACAAGCTAGTAATTTTACAGATTCCACAGAACCAAATCTTTTTAAAATTTCATTTTTTGTTAATTCTAAAATATTTTTTCCCTGTTCAGTTTTAGGAGAAACATTATTGAGCTGCTGTTTTAAACAATTAACTAATGGAATTATTTTACTACTGGTTATGTACTGTTCCCCTGAAATTTCCTTTGACACTGCTTCTATAGGTTTTAAAACTAATAAAATTTCCTTCAAAGCTTCAATTTCGTTTGAGTCCGTAATAGGTGGTGATTTAGGTGTATTTAATAATATTGGCACTAGATATTTGTATAACATAAGATACCTTTCAATCATGTAGAAGGTAGAATTCCACCTGGTAGGCACAGATTGTATAAGTTTGAGTTTGTTTTCTTGGGGTTGGGCCTTCCTTAACTCATCTGACGCTGCGACACTGTGTTTAAAATATGTGACAATTACTTTTACTTTTTTTAAAATTGCAGTAACATTTCCCACTTCTGTCATTATTTTAGTTGCTACCAAATCTAATGTGTGGGCAAAACATGGTAAATGCTTATTTTTACCAAACAGGAGTGATATAGCCTTTACCATGTTTGCACCATTATCAGTAACTACCGCACTTATTTTGTTAATGCAAATGTCCCAAGATTCACAAACTTTCTTTATTATATCTGTTATATATTCGGCTGTATGGTTTGAAGAAAGTTCATATACAGCTATAACTATAGATTTTAATTTATCTTCATCAATATAATGGCAAGTTATTCCTAAAAAGCTTTTTGTATTCATTGTTTCAGTCCAAATATCTGTGGTCAAATTAAAATGATTTATATTGCTAATTTTACTTTTCAAACATCTTACAAGTACATCATATTTATCGTCAATTAAGGCAGTTACAGATTTTCGTCCTGGAATTGTATATAGAGGCGTAGTTGTTTGAACAAAATACTTGAATCCAACTTTTTCTGTTGTGTTTAGTGGGAGATTGTCTTTAGTTATCATATAAATGAGTGCATTTGTTATTTGACTTGATTTACGTCCACCATCTAAAAAACAATAAAAGATACTTTTGGTGGCGGTCTGGTTGTAAATTAATAATATACTAACTTTAAAAATACTAAAATTACCTTGAAATGATTTAATTTTTGCAATGGTTTCTGTTATAAGAGGTTGTCGTACTTGTCGTGTGTGTTCTCCAGAATAGTAATTAGATTTAGATGAACATGGTTGAGGTTCACAATCAGAATTTACTACCTCATCCTCCAATTCTGAATTAGAAGTTGTTTCTGTTGACTCATTTTCCATTTTCTAAAAACAGGTTAATTTTTAGTTTATTTACTTTTGGAAAATATATATATTTACATATCTAGTATACTTACAGTTACGTCTATTTGTAAAGCACTTTTCGAATGATCAGATGTTTCCGTTTTTCCGAAATCTATATGATGTTTTCGTATTAAATGCATGGATAAATTAGTTGTGTTGCCGGCAGACTTTACATCATTTCTACAGAGTTTACAGATTCCACCTGTTTTATTTTTTATAAAATAATTCCAAACATTACTTTTATTTTTGGAACGTGGCAGACAAAACAGTAAAACACACGACACAACTAAACAGTGAACTAATATACTAACAGAACTAATACTAATAACTAATAGACAAGTGATAAAAAAAATTATGTGTGATTCCCAATCCCAATATCCCTCTAGGCAACATGTATACGCCATCTCCAAGAAAAAAACGTTACTAAGATCTCTAAACCTAAATACTGTATGTTTAAGTTTAATACCTTATTACTAGATGGCAGACCAAAAATTCGTAATTAGTGTTGCATAATGTTACCTTTATTTTCGATTCGATTTAACATGAAGATGTATCGATACGGGGTATTAATGCATCGGTGAATATCGATACAAAATATCGAATTTTGAACTTCTAAATATCGATACTGTCAAATATCGTATCGTATCGCACATCTCTACTGTAAGGGCGTTTGGTTTAAACAGGGTACCAGACGTGAACTGAACCATTTTTGTACCCCATTCGTTCTTTTTCTGGAAAACGAAATTTCAAAGAAAAAACCATAGAGGAAAATAAATTCTTTGCAAATAAAACAAAAGAAAAAAAAAAACAATTCAATTCTAAAGTATCTTTATAAATAATCATGGCAGTCTGAATCCTCTGAACTAGAGTCATCATTTGGTTGAATTATGATGGGTTGTAAAGATCTTCTTTGATAACATGTTCAACACAGTTTTTCCAAAGCTCTTGGCGGTCTGCTGCTAGAACTTTCTTTACGAGTTCTACAACTTCTTTACTCAGTTCTGGAGACTGATTACATTTTCGTAATTCTGATTTTAAGTTTGCCAATATTAACTCTATAGGGTTAAATATGCAATAGTAAGGAGGTAGTCGGAGAAGAGTTTGCACAGCTTGCCAATATAATACATTTTTTTCTAACTTTATATCTTTAATAACAGTAAGCAATTCTTTGTTTGTTGGTCCTTTTTTACTATCACTGGCAGGAATAGGAATATTTTTTTCAGACATAAAACCTAAAATTTGAACTTTTTTACTGCTACTATTTGGTATTTTAAGGAGTTGCCGCGAGTGGTAGGATGCGATGTTCATAACGATTACTGACTGTGGTGGAATGTAAGGTAAAAGCTGTTCATTAAACCGTTTTTCAAATAATTCTGCTGTCATATCTTCATGATAATCAGCTGCACAGTTTTTAATTTGTTTAGCAGATAATAATAAAGTATTAGGCACGAAACCGTCTCTGCTTCCAGCGTGTACTATTATAATGCGTTTCCCTTTAGAACTTGGCCCATTCAAACAGCAATTTTTACTACTGCCAACCCAACCGAAATTTACTACATCGTGACTGTCAAACCATGTTTCATCTAGATAAATTGTGTCTATTAGAACTTCTGTAGCCTTTTATCTGACGCAAATAATCTTGTCGCCATTGAACTATCCTTGTTGACGATTTGGTGATTGCCATCTGTTTATTCAATTTTTTGTGTTTAAAACCACATGCTGACAAAACTTGACGCAATGTTTCCAAACTGGTATAAGTGTATCCTGGAAAATCTGCCACCTTTTGCTGTATTACTTCCAATGTCGGAACCCTGTTCTCCTTATACAGTATGGTTCAAATGAAAGGAATAAATTCATTATAATGGAAGTAGTTAGTTTTTCGAAAAAATGCTCGGACAGGTCAATTTTGTTTACTCAAAGCGCAATTTTTTAAATAAAATTAAATTTTCCCCCATTTCCCATTTTTGGGCAGTGACGTCATTGACAATTTTTTTAAATAGTAACCCCATTTTTTTTCTTGATTTTGTTAGATCTTGCAATTTCCTACTCGGAAACATAATATTTGAAATATCTTACATAACAATTTTTTTTAAATAAAAGTCATTTAAAGATCAGACATATAAATTTTATTTTATTTTGAGAACACAATAAATAAATAAAAGATAATTATTTGTAATTAAGTGCCTAATCTAACAAAATAATAATAATACTATTAATAATAATAATAATAATAAAAAAGAATTTGTGAAATTGTCATTAAATTCTTTTTATTATTATTATATATTTTTTAGATGAAGCACTTAATTACAAATAATCTTTTATTCATTTATTGTGTTTCAAAATAAAATTTATGTATCTGATCTTTAAATGACTTTTATTCAAAAAAAATTGTTATGTCAGATATTACAAATATTATGTTTCTGAGTAGGAAATTGCAAGATCTATTAAAATCAAGAAAAAAAATTGGGGTTACTATTTAAAAAAATAGTCAATAACGTCACTGCTCAAAAATGGGAAGTGGGAGAAAATTGAATTCTATTTAAAAAATTGCGCTTTAAGTAAACAAAATTGACCTGTCCGAGCGTTTTTTCGAAAAACCAACTACTTCCATTATAATGAATTTATTCCTTTCATTTGAACCATACTGTATAAACTATAAATTATCCTTCGTATAAAATCTTGGGTAGCTCTGTCAACTGATTTCAGTTTTTCTTTACATGTTTTACGGTTTTATGAATAATCCACAGCAACCCCTTTCGTGACTACCGGATAAACGGAAAATTTATTTACTTTAGTTAATTCAGCAATTGTTATTATGAACGCATTATCAGACTGCTGAATATTTTCCTTTTTTAAACATTCGAATATATTTAAAATAACTTGTTGTGTTTGTATATCTAAATCCTTATCGTTAAAGTCATACCTGTCTTTAATATCTACACTGTGCAATTTCATTTTCTTCATTCGCCCATGGTCTAAAGAACGCCATATTTATATTTATTAAAAGAAATTTAAATTAAACCAACCACACATACAAAACACACCGTACGACAGTACTCCACTGATATCGCAGACTGTCTTCCAGGAATATTTTCGAACACCTGCCTTCCGTAAACCTTCGGCCAATACAGTGCATTTAAGTTTACGTTTCGATGTTTTCATTGGTAAACAACTGATGGTTCGTTTAATATTTACCGCTTTGTATAAGGGGAGTAAACATAATTTTTCGTTTCTTAATTTGGCATGAGTACCGTGCGTATATATTAAATATTGATGATTCCCCACATAACTGTGTTCTGCAATTGATAATGGAAGTACTATACCTGTATCTATTTGACCAGAACTGAGTTTTTGTACACTGATCATGTCTGTCGTGATGTGACCCGTCTTCATCATCCATTGAATTGGAATCTGTAAAAATAAAAGTAATTTGTAAATTGATTCGAACATATTTGATAAAGAATTGATTATTATGAGCTTACCAGGGACTTGGGTAATCAAGTCACTCAATAAAATACTCTTTTCACATTGATCCTTCCCTGAAGTGCGTAATGGCTGTTTCTTAGAGCGATATTGTTTCTTTTTTTTTTGTTGCAAAAAACATTTAAGTTTGCTGAACAGTCGATGATTCTGCTAAATCTTCAGGTCTTGCCTTCAACGGCTGTTCAGCTTCAGCTACTTCTTCTGTCTCTGAAAGATTCACATCTTTTACAAGGGAATCATGTACAATTGTATCACCAATTATTGAGTTATCAGCTGATGTAGATGGTTGTTCAATTGCAGATGAAGACGTACTGGGCTGTGATGGAACTTTTTTTCAACATCTATCGACATAATATGTCTTTTCAATGCTCTAAATGTCTTGTAACAACTACTATGAAATGCAGAATCATAAATTTCGTCCGGTAAAATAATATCTTCATATTTCAATTTATGAAATTTTCGTATCCTTAAAATCTTCTGAAAATAGTAATTTATCAGTTTTTACCGTGTCACAAAAACACACTTTAGTTCTTTTTTTTTTTTCACTCGACATAATGTCATATATATTAAATAAATAATACACTAATCAACAAAATAAAAGAAAGCAACACTATGTATTTTATTAATTTCACAAAACACGAGGTATGTGTATGAAGGTTCACAAATATACTGAAAACATCTGGCACTAACCGTTATGGTGGGGACATATCTAGGCCCTCTCAAGAATAAAATCTGAATTATTTGAATACTAGTAACAATAAAAGAAAATGCTATAGGCTAGAATGAGTACAATAGTGATCCATATGGGAAAAAAGAAAGATAGCCATAAACAGTCTATGCATACACCTGGCCGGATAGTAGCTACGATTTTGTTGTCTGCTGACGTGTGTACTCAATGAAGACGTCTGCCGTGATGAATATAAGTTTTTAAGACCCTAATAAATAAAATATATCAATGGCAGATCTGGTCAATTACTTTCAAAACTGTCTGCCACACGCGATAATGGTTTGCCATTGTTGTTTTCTGATAATAATAATAATAATAATATATTTTCAAATTTTAAAACGGCAGACGTGGTCAAATGCATTTAAAATTTGCCAAAAATCGATATCTGAGCGCCCGCCGCGTCCACCACTTTGGGCTTAGTGACTCCCTATCTCGGGTATGGTCGGTATAGGGGCCTCAGTGTACAAAAACTCAGGTCTAGTAGCTACAATTCCAATTTTCAAGTTGTTTCCCTATTTCCTACCTTTCCTCCCTTAAAATATGAATATTTAAAAACCCCGAAACACGTCATTATTTATTTGTGGTGAGAAGCTATAATTCTAATTTTGAAATGGAGGATTTCGTTTTTCGCCTGCAAATTAGAAACAAATAATTTGACAGCTGTTAAAGTGTGACATTATTCGGACACGAATAAGATCCGCCTCAACTTTCATTTTTCTTATGACCGCCATATTGGATTTTTCGATTTTTGGAAAGATCGAAAAATTTCCAGTCTTGTGATGTCTCACATGTGCCTAAAATATTTGAGTATCATCAAAATAATACACTTTGTAAAGTTAGGTGTCATTTTTTTTCTAAGGAGGCCATGATTTATTTTTCAGAAAATAAATCAGATATTTTGGGACACATTCCCAACTGTGTATTAAAAAA